CTAGACCAGTGCTCAACCCTTATAAATGGCGATGAATTTCTTGGTTTTGTTGCCTCCAAGCTCAGGCACAACCGGTTGCATCCTTCATCCTCCCCGCAGTGCCCAGCAGGGTGCAAAAAGAGCCAGACTGAGCACAGACAGGCACCAAAAATTGGACAGAGCCGCCATGCCCGGGCTTCCTTCCTTGCCTTTTGAAGCAATTTGCAGAGTTTTGCATCAAATTCACACATTGCCCCAAGCAATGCCTGCCGGGTGTTATTGCAGGGTAACACATGCAGCAAGAGCAGCAGCATCCCCAGCAGTGTCAGGGACAGGACAGGAGCAGGAATCAACCGAAAGGTTTTGGTTTTGCAGAGTGCCATTCATCGCCTTCAATGCACAAGGACGCAAGTGAAAGGATCACCAGAGTTTGATTATAAGTGCAAATAATATTCATATATATGTGCTAAACACAGTAACTATATTGCAGTATTTCCACTATGTCACAGTATACAGAATCAAAGGTTTGTATTTTTATGGAATGTATCCAAGGTAACAGCACCACAGTAATACAGTTTGTAATCACACACCCTGATTTTTTTTTCTCTTTTTTTGACAAGCATTACCCCCCACATTCCATGTTTAATTTTTTTTAAAGTACCGATGCATGCAAAGCATTCCATTCCCAGAAACAATGCAAAAATGAGGTAATAGGAGTAAAAAAATTAGTATTAATTTCTAAATAAATAAATTATAATTAAAAATGCAAAAAACAACTATAAAAATAATTAAATAAGAACCCACAATATCTACAAGTTAGTCATAAATTATGATTGTAAAATATAAGGCATTTAAACTCACAAAACCCTGTAAACTATCAATATTTTGTTCCTAGAGATTTTTTTGTTGTTTGTTTCACTTTGTTTTTTTAGACTTACCCTATTATCGCAGCCTAGTCATACAAATTATTTAAACGCAAAGGAACCTGACACACCAATGCAACTCCAGACACTGTAAATTCGCACGTACCTCGGGATCAGTCACTCACACGAGACCATGGGAGTTTGGTGCTTTTCTTTACCAAGGTTGGGGCTGGGTTTGTTTTTTTCCTTTTTTTTTTAAAAAAAAAACCTGTGCTTGTTCATTAGGCAAATAGTAACACTTTCGCATAGGCTTTAAGAAAACATGCAGTTCAGAAGTGCTCCTCCTTCTCTCCCCACCTGGAGAGAGTCCCAATCGCCCTGTTCCTACCCTTGCTTTGCCCCCAGCTCCCATCTGGATGGACCAGCCCGGCTTACAGTGTATTTTGTATTATTAGTAATATCAGTACAATTTTTAATGCTGCTTCAATCTGCTGCTGCTGGAGCAAGCCCCATAGGTATGGATGGACCACTCTTTGACCCGAGGTGTCCACAGCCCTCCGGTCAGGGCTGGGACTGCTACATCCCCCAATAAGCCATCTGGGGTGGCATCATGGAATCACAGAATGGTTTGGGTTGGAAGGGATCTTTGCAGGTCATCTAGTCCAACCCTCTGCCATGGGCAGGGACATCTTCAACTGGATTAGATTGCTGAGCCCCGTCCAACCTGACCTTGAATGTCTCCACAGATGGGGCATCTACCACCTCTCTGGGCAACCTGTGCCAGTGCCTCACCACCTTCATTGTAAAAAATGTCTTCTTATAACTACCTTATATTGCCACCATGTGTCCCCTTGCACTCCCTCATACCTGCATCCTCATGCCCCATGGGGCTCCCCTATTTCCCTGCTCTCTCCAGCTGGGAGAAAAAAAACAAACCTCTGAGGCGCCTCTGAGGTTGGCATTTTCCAAACCCATGGAATCCCGCGTTCTCTCAGATGGTAATTTATGATTGTTTCTTCTGGGAGAGCATCGCTTGGCTCCAGCGAAACAGATGCTCAGGGGAGCCAGAAATCATCCCTGCCACATTAGTATTTTCAATATATAATGTTCCTGACTAATTCTCCTTGCTCCTCCACATCTTTCTTTTGCTCCCCAAGTATGCAAAACGAAAAGTATTTTTAAAAATAAAAAGTAAAACAAGGGGTATGGTTGTGAATGCCAGTTCTCTGGAGGGTTTTCAGCTTGGTCCCTGTGGTTGGTGTGCTGAGGTCTTTATTTCAGTGGGAACTTGGATCACAACAGCTCTCTCCTTCGAGGTCCACCTCCTAATTCTGTTTTGAGCATTAATGCAATTCAGTTTCATTTTAATAACCACTCCATTCTCCATATGGATACAGCCTGAAACATGTACACAAATGCACGTGGGTGCAGCTGCACGTGCTTTGGGGCAAGGCCACAACCCAGCCCCTCTAGAAAGCAGCAAACCTCACTTCCAACCTGCCTTCCTCTCCTGCCTCAGCAATGCCCTGTGAGCACCGAGTTTTCTCCCATCCTGTTATCAGAGATGCTTTTGCATGGGAGAGGAGTCGGCAGCATACATCTCTCAGCCCTTCTTCAGCATTATTACACCCCAAAGCACGGCTATAGCCACCGATTCCAGTAACCACCATTATGGACCGGTGCTGACAGTGGCTGCCGAAGCCAACCAGTCTCAGCTCACAGGAGAAAGCATCATGGACAACGACAATCATGAAGACAGCTCTTCCTTGGATTTTGATATGCCAAGCTACTTCATTAAGATACGGCAAGCAAAGAAACAGCATCTACTCCAATATCGCGCCCCTACAGAAAGCATTCAGCATCAGCAGATAAGCAGGAACGAAGCTTCTCCCTATTGCTTCATTTGTTTCATTCCCAATTTTTTTTAAAGCTTCTTTAAATTTGCAACACACTGTAAACACAAGGAAAGGAAGCACACATGGCTGAGGTAAAGAGCGCAACCCTTCTGATTGTAAACAGGATTTTGCTTTTTCGCCTCTTTCCCCCCACATAGGTGGGAAAGCTTGACCTCTTTATTCTCCGTCTGCAATGTATTAATCAGGCACCAAAATAAGGAATCTATGAAAAAACATTTGGTGCAAATTAGGTAACAGCAACATGTCCATCACAAGATGAGAAGGGCATCAAACAACAATTCTTAAGCTAACGTGCTCCAGCTGCCATCCATAGAAATAGCTAAAGGACCCCTAACATGTTTCTACGTATTTGAGCGGTATATATACAATCCTCATGAGATGCAGGATTGACAGGCCAGACTACCACAACTAGTTCCTTCATGTTCAACACTAAATCTTCTGCAGCACGGGGTCTCTGAGCTCCAGGAATACTAGCTCCCTTTCACCGGGCCCATATCCTGTGTATGTGCAATATCTCCTACTGCTAGATATTGTACCATCACCTCCTCCTCCTCCTCCTCCACCTCACTAATGTGCCTGCAGAGTTCTCCTCTCAATCAAATGGCTCAGAAGGCAAAATTTTTGCTGCAAGGGTTTATGGCCATACGACCTGGTAAGGAAAATGGTGTGTCCAGCCAGTCCTTTCAGCTGTCCGAGCCGAGCTGTGTTTCAATGTTCACCCTGCAGATTGGGCACTTCTTGCTGGTGGTCAGCCACTGGTCCACACACACTTGGTGGAAGAGATGCATACAGGGCAACCTCCTGCAGAGAGAGAAGTCCCACCCCGTTAGGATGGAGGTCCAGGGAACCAAGAAGAGCAAGAAAGCAGCAGCCAGGGCTGCTTCAAATGTGGGGAAGCACCAATGTAGTGACACCAGCACCACCCAGGTCCTACAGCCTCCCCCAGCAATGCCAGCCCACATGGGACAGTAGGTCAGAGATTATGTCCCTTTAGCTAAAATCCTTTTAGAAAACCCCATACCCTCCTGAACTGGGTTGTTCCAGGCTGCTTTTTAATCTTTCAGGAGTATTAGGTTATACTCCAAAGCCTCTTGGTTCTTCATCATTGTGACTTGTTGGAAGTCAGGTGGGACCCAACTGCTCCTATGTGGGTGTCTGGTGTGCCCCAGAGAATGTGGTTGCTTTTCACCTACATCACCTTTGTCATCTCTTTAGTGACCTTCACAAGTCAGAGGGACACCAAACCTCAAGGACCCACAGCAAGAGGATCAGAGTTTTTCTTGATGGCTTAAGGCAATTAAAGGGTGAGGAGCAGGCAGTGCAGCTGCACTGCCCACCTGCAGCCATGATAGCTCAGCCTCCTGCAATCAGTTGTCCCCATCCTCTGCCACAGAGATTTGACCCAGCCAAAAGCTCAGGGACCTCTTTGATGGATAACTGGGGTCTTGTTGTCTCCCTCGGCTCCGTCTCAGCCACAAGCCAAACTCCTCTGGACTTCACATCCACACTCCCTTTTATCATACTTTGGTCATCTGTCAAGCTCAGATGTTGACATCCCCAAGTTCCAGATGGCTGCCTGAGACCTGGGTCACATCCTTCTCTGACACTTGCTACCTGGCCCATTGGCACAGCATTGAAGCAAGTGATCCAGACTCAGAGGATACTATAAGAACTTGGCCCTCCTGCTGCTGCAGAGCTCTTCCTACCTACAGCCCATACCAACATCCATCTAAATGGTATTTGGTTTCCCAAACCTTGCAACAGCCCAAGCAAGTTTGTCAGGACAAAACCATGGACAAGTCCACCAGTGCACAGCAGTGTTAATCCCAAGAAACACAACTCAGATGGCATCAGTAGGCAGAGGAGCAGGTGGAAGGATCATACCTGACATCTTCTCCATCTTCAAGCATGGACAGACAGATTGTGCATTTCTCGTTCGTGTCTGACTCCTCTCCATCCTCTTGCTCAGCTTTGCCCTCCTGCGGTCTTCTCTGGAGCAAAGTTAAAGACATAATTTGGTTAGGACTTGAATTTTTTAATGCTCTCCCAAGCCTGGGCAGTTGCAGGAAGGCAAATATTATGAGCTTCATCTATCAGCCACATCCTCCAGCTTGAGGAAGCCAGCCTAGCCAAAACAGCCAACAAAGGGAGGATGCCATCAACATGCTGCTTCTCAGCATGTCTCCTCCCGAGGTCGGTGGCAGTGGGACCAGCGGCAGTGACCCAAGAAGCAACCTGTCCTCTGCTGCCCTAAAACAACCCTCCTGCCACCTCCTTCATCCTCCTTGCAGTGGGGATGGCCTCATGGTCTCCTTTGCTGGAGGCTTCTCATGGAGACCCCAAAGCATGTGGGGCCACCACTGTCAGAAAGGGCAATCACTCTGCCCCATGCCAGCTTGGCCACCTACCATGGGGTAGCACTTAGCCTGTCAGCTCTCCTCTTTTCTCTTTCCCCCTCCCCCACATCCATTCCTATTAATATCATTTTTCTGGATCCACTGGAGATGTGGTCAGAGACAAGCATAGCAGGAGCTGACTCTCTTCCAACTTGGGCAATGCAATGACCCTACTTGTCACTGCCCAGCCAGGAATGACCAACATGTGAAATTACTACCCAAATAAGCATTTTTCCCCATTTTCTATTTAGCGTGACCCAAAAACGTGGCACCCATTTCCTTATGGAGAGGAGATCAGCTCCAACAGAGATGACACCTCTTGCAAAGCAAGGGGAGGACAAACTCCCCCATGCTATGGAGCTGGTGTGGGCAGTGCCACTTGCATACAGAACGGGGCAGGTTTGAATGCACGAAGCCCCCTTGGTGTGTGCACTTTCTTACCAGGTGCGGACAGGGGGAGAAATTGCACACGCTGGGTGGGAGAAGCTTGAGACCCGTTTGAAAATTTGGTCCGCAGCTTCCTAGCCTAGAAGTGAGAAACAGCCATCTGAGCTATATCACTGCTTCAGCCCAGGAGCCCCACAAGATAATAAAGCACCAATTCTGGATTTTACATTTCTCCCTCATTTCAGGGAATATTTTGATTGATGACAACGATTTGCCAACCCTAACGATTGCAACCCATCAAAGTCCTTCCTTCTGTCCACTCCATGCCCATAATCCTTGGCCAACTGAGAGGGGCTGGCAGCTGTGAGTGGTTTTGGGGTGCTCACCTTCTTGTACTTGTGGGGAAAGGTGAACCTCTCAATGGTGTTCTGGATGGCTCCCCAGCTCCCGCTACCCAGCCTGTCCTCCAGCTGCAGCAGCTCCTGTGGCATAGGAACAGCAGCAAAGTGCCATCAGCATTGCTCCTGGGGCATGAGGTCCCACCACCCCACTCTACCTGCTGGGGACCAAGGCTTCCTCCTGCACTTTCCTTGGTGGAAATGTCCATCAAACCCAAATCAGTCATGCTTTAATGATGGCTATGAGCCCTGGCTCTTGGACCAATAACTAAGGGTTAAAGGCAGAGAACGGAGAGCTGGACACCCAATATTTCAGAAATTGGGGTGGAATTTGAGCTCCATTTTACAGACTGGGAAACAAAACCCCATAGAACTGAAGCACTTTGGTCACGGACACGAAGTGAGACAGAGTCAACCTGAATCCACTGTGTCCACTGAACCCACTCAACCCCTTCGCCTCCCAGTTATTAGTAAAATTGCTGGAAGACTCAATGCAGCTGACATGCCACATAACAGTCTTACAAACTTATGCCAGAGCTTGCAGAGGTTCCCTGCACTTAAAAATTCAATAATAATTCTGGTCCCTGAGATACGTACTTCATAGCTCTCCCACACAGCAGACGTGTGCCTGCTTGGGTTCAGTCCCTGAAGAGCAAGTAACTGAAGCTGAGGGTAAGGGTAATTTCTGATTTCATGAACAACCTGCAAGAAGTGAGGGAGAAGAGTAAAGCCTTGAACACAGAAATTCCTCGTGTACCCTGATTTAAATCTAGTGCTTTAAAAATTCAAAATGAAAGAGCAGAGTGACACCTTCCTCAATGAAAGCTTTTTAATAACCAAAAAATGAGGTTTTATTAAATAGATCTCTTATAAATTATAACTAAGAACATGCATTTCTTATGAATAAACTAGCTGTTATAATAATTCCTGTTGCATCTATAACATTGTAGTTCCAAACTCTCAACATGGATTAGCTTAAAAAGATATTTTATTTTATTTTATTTGGGTTTAAATGGGTGGATTTCTCTTCATCCATGCTTTGATTTTTTAAGTCTCGCTGTATTGCACAGGTGTCAGGGTCTGACTATGGACATGAGGAGGAAACACCCTTGTGGGATTTCTGAGGATGCTTTAAGGATTAGTGGTGCTTGGCATGGCTCAGCTCCAAACGCAGCACCCTGCTAGGGGAAGGGCCAGTAAATGACACAAATCAGTCTATCTTCTCATCAAACTGCATCTCCACCTGTGCAGGAGATTATACAAAACCTTGATAAACATAGAGAGCAATGATGTAATGAGGGATGGTCCTCAGAGCTAAGCCCAGAGTCACCTACTGCCAATGCAGGGAGCCACAAATTGTTCCAGTATTAATAATAATTAGTAATAACTGCTGAGTCTCTCACATCCTGCCCAAGTTTTTCAGACCAGCTTGTGAGCATGGTGCTGCATGCAATTGACCAAATCTTTCCAGAGCAGCTGAACTTTTCTTTCCTTTTTCTAATCTGGTGTACAATGAAGCAACATTATCCTTTCAGATGCTCCCTCCCACGGCCAGAGATAAGTGGGATTCACAGAAGGCAGGTGATAGAAAGATAGCAGCCTTCATTTTGACTGCTTTTCTGGCAGACAATGCATAAAATACTTCTTGGTAAAAGCATTTCACTTACCATCTGTGTTGAGGATGTGCTTCTGGGGAAATGGTGCATCCGAGGTGTAGCTAAGTAATGCTGATAGGGCTGAGGGACCGGCCGGACCTGGAACTGTGTGTGAGTCAGTCCTGCATCCACACTGAGGTCCCTGTGGGCACAAGGATGAAGATACAGCTTTGACTGCACAGTTTCATTGCATGGCTTACAGTAAGTCAGGTCATGCTCACGGGGCAACCTCCACTGGTGGGCTCTGGGTTGCTGTGGTTTCCTCAACCTGGGGTGGTGCTACTGCTTGGAAGGGAGTTTCCTCCAATTTGGGCAATCACCCACCAGGCGAGCACAAAGGAGTGAGGGGTTGTTTTTATGCCAGTTAACATTTGTGTTAGCCAGGGTCAAGAGCTACACAGATGCAGCCTGCTAATTTCAGAGCAAGAGCATTTTGGTGGCTCCAATGGATACCTAGGCTCGGTAATTCAACTCAAGCAGATCAGGTCCTCCCTGTCCTGCTACCACTGCAAACAATTACATTTTGCCTTGAATATTTAAAACAGGAATGCAGCTAATTACTCAGGGGACACACTGATGAACCATTCTGGTTAGATGTTAGGAGCCAGCTAGGCACTATCCAAGGGTTTTTTGATGTGCTTGTGATCTCCTTAGAGGCCTTCCAGCCTGGGTCATAGTAGGACTCAGGGAGACAAGGGAGATGGAACATTGCCTGAACCCAGCCTCAGAGGAACCTCAAAAATGCTGTTTGTGCAGAAAATATAAAGTTTTCAAGAAATTTCTGGATGAGACTGCTGTAGGAAAGGGTGTCACACAACCAGCAGGCCAATACCAATGAAGCAGGACATTCCTGATGGTCCCACACGCCTGCATGCAGCCTGGCCTGGGCAAGCAGAGCTGGGGCTCAATTTGGTGAATTTAGGCACTTTTTTCCTCCAGAAAAATAACCCAGCTCAATCCCAGGACTTGGCATGACTAAGATCCTAGCAAATGTCACAGCTCTGCCCAATCCAGCATGCAGAGATGAATGGTGACCCCATCCCCACTGTAGAGAGAGAGCAAAAGTTAATCACAAAGTCCAAGTCATGTACACCACGTAGCTGCATGCCTGGAAGCATGAAACTCAGCACTGGGCGAGGTGGCAA